TAAACTGTTTAGTCACGCAATGAATGGAAATGAGCTACGCTTAGATTGTGCAAATAGTCCATGGAAAAACATCAATAAAAAATAAAAAGAACTGTGATGTGTGATGTTCTTTTGATTTCAATACTAAAATGAGTAGAAACTGACCATTAACAACCACTGATAGTGAAAAAGTTAAACTTTAGTACTATGAATGAACTTCTTTGTTATAGTCATTTCAATATGTTTAATAACAATGCTCAGACCTTGTAAACAGTTATGTAAAGGCACTGTGCTTGGTAACCACCTTCATCTGGTCTTTCATCGGTTTCCTTAAAACATCTTTGTTAATGTTTCTGAATGTTGAATTTTTAATGGAAAAACCTGATCTGAGGTGCAGAATGAAGAGGGAAACGAAAACTATTCATTTTCTCCCTTCTGAAATAAGCTGCAAACCTTCATTGGATAAGTCCAAGTAATTCTCATTTACAACAGCCTTTTCAACAACAGCACCTTTTGTTATGACATTTATTCAATGGAAAAATTATCTGCTGTGAAAATACTCGTATCTTTTGATGAGCCTGGTGTTTATGAAAATTATCATTACTAAGTTATATTAAGAGCTTCCTTATAAGGTAACTATTTAAGGGCAAATTTCTCTTATATATAGGGTTTGTATTATACTTAAGGATATGTGTGAATCATGGCAAATATCAAGTTTCAGCTATTTTTGTGGTGCAGATGGTTTTCATGTTATATGGCAATATTTTCCGGAATACATGATGTCCTACTTCTCTGAGTGGTACAGATAATTAAGCTGTGGTTGGAAAATAGTGTGGAGGAGTGCACGTGGAGGAGGGAGGATGTGATTAAAAATAACACTTTATGCCATTTTTTCCTTTTTTTCTGATCATCAAATAAAATTCTTCTCATGACATAGGTATGGCAGTGGTTATATTTGCAGTAGTACTGAGGTGGATAGATGGTCAGATTGTTGTGGACGGGCGATGTCTATGATAGAGCAAGTCACATTTTCTGTATGTGCAAGTAAGCCTAGCTCTTCTAGGCTTCAAGTGACATCCATTCTTTTATTAAAGGGTTTATGAAAGGGCTGTAACACACACACAGATTCTAGATCTGACCAACCTTCTCAGCCGTGGGCAAAAGATGACAACCAATAAAATTATAAAAGATAATTTATTAGTACACTGATCATAAAAGTGAAGGGACAAAATAGTCCAGTGTCCCACTTGCAAAAGGGATAGAACACACAGTTCAAGCTATGCCACACTTCACTATGGCGACAACTTTAACAGGAAACAACAGTTGTCCTCCAAGACCCAACGCCCTGTAAGTAAAGGGCTGATAATCACTCTAGCCTCAGTAAACCAACTCTGCCTTTAGGCTGTGCCACATAGTAGGCACAGAGAAACAAAATATCACAGCATTGTATTGGGTATAAATAGACCACAGTATCAGTACAATCAAATACACTGCCTTCAATTAATCCAACCCCATAACAACCACTCGTTCACAGCAATTGTGACACACAAAAAACCTCCCAAACTAGTGCCCAATACCCACAGCAAAGATGGAGATGAGTAAATATAGGCAATACTAGTCCACTATATTACAGGGGCATCACTATAGCAGCTCAGTATAAGCCAGTGTAAACAAGCCAAGTCACCAAGATGTTTTCTTTGTATATTAGAACTATATGCTAACTTTAGCATTCTAACACAAATACATATACAGTATAGCTACTATTAGCCGGTCTCCTGTTCATAAGGGATTGCTACAAGAATCAATAATCAGGAATCCTTCATTGGTTTGGCAGATGTATAAACCAATACACTACAGAGACACTGTGACTGCACGATTATTTGACTTCATTAGTCTCTCACATTGTTGTGGAGAAATTTTGACCCACTCTTCTTTACAGTGTTGCTTCAGTTCATTGAACTTTACAGACATTTGTTTATGTACAGCTCTTACGGTACTGGTATGTTAATTAGGTTAAGGTCTGGACCTTTACTGGGCTATTTACTGGGCAACACCTTGATTCTTTTCTTTTTTAGTAATTCTGTAGATTTATTGCTTTCTTGGCTATATGTCATGTTGCACAACTCAGTTTTGGCCAAGCTTTAGGTGTTAAACAGATGACCTCACATTTTATTCTAGAATACTTTGGTATACAGAGGAGTTCATGGTCACTTTAGTGACTTTAAGGTGACAGTTGGTATGAGCGGTGTTTGGTTTTCACCAAATGTGGCAGTGTGCATCAAACATCTCCAAATTGTTCCAGTGTTTAGCTTTGTTCAAAAGCAACTTTCCAAAGACATGTAATTTTTAGAGAGTGGAGGCTTTCTTCTGGCAACCCTTCCAGATAAACCATATTTATTTAGTCTTTCTCCAATTGTGCTTAATGAACTTTTACATTTAATATGCTAACTGAGGCCTGTAGAGTCCAACGTGTAGCTCTGCAGTTTTTCGGAGTATTGTACAGTCTGAACTTGACGTGGATTTACTGGGATGTCTAGTCTTTGGAAGATTGTGGCACACACCTGAATGCTCCAGACCAGCAAACTGACAAAACATCTGCTTTTATAGATGTCCTCATACTTGGTCATCATCAAATTAATGAGGTATATTTGATTAGCAGCACATGGCTGCTAATTACCCTGTTAATTCCTATGGAAACAGAGAGTGTGTACCTAACTTTTTAAGTACATAACCTCACTAACATAACTAAATATAATCTATTTTTCTGACAACTGTAATTCTGTACTTAAACTTACCCTGGTTTTCAACCATGAAAAAAGAGGAACAGTTTTTTGAGATTAACAATGTAGCGCTATGTAGATGCCTGCAAAAATGGTAACACACACAGCTAACATTTCACCACAGCTTGTTACAAATATTACCACCAGGTGTAAAACTGTCACCTTTGAACTCTTTGTGACCCCACATTTCAATCAACACCACTGGGAACTTTATCTGTTGTGAGGAGCAATCCCTTTATTGTTGCAAATTCAATTTAACAAGGATTTAGAAGACTTCCTTAGAAAAAAATCACTCTCCTTTGACATGTACTGTAAAAGAGCGCACATTTCAGAATTTACTGGAGTTGTTACTGCTGTTACTGCTATAAGCTATCATGTTTCCAAGGAACATTCCACATTTGTTAGGAATTAAATATTCAGACCACACAGAATGACCTCACTGATGTCGGTGCGGCAATTTTGATGCCTGACATGTTCCAGACTGTGAAAAACAGTCTGGAAAAACAACAATGTTTTGTGCAAAACATTTGAAACTTCATTATAATTAAACACATTTGCTTTCGATAACTGTGTAATATTTTGCAATACATATACTTAAAAATGACACAATTGGTTACACAAAAAATAAACATCTGTGAGTCAAACATATTTAATATACTACAACAGTGGTGGGTTAAGCAGACGTGTCGGTTCGGGAAACTAGATGGGCTGAATTATTTGTATTCCTGACTTGTGATTTACAACATTAAAAAGTATTTGAAGTCAAGCTGTAGTTCAATATTGACGTTGCAATGAAAAAATACAAAATCAGATCAAAAAAAAATTTGTCAAACATTACAAAAATATAACCGTATTAATTCGAATAAAGTATTAACAATCTATACTTTTAAAACTGTATTTGCAGATTGTGATTTCCTTTGTTAGAAATCATAACTGTGATATGAAACAAATTTATTCTTCAGCTCTAGCAACAAGCCAGCATTATAGTAGTGATCGATTCAGAAGTTTGGCTGATTATTTTATATTAACTGAACTGCTTGGTGTAATCACTCTGCATATTTTTAATGATGTTGAAAGATGTTAAAATTCATTTTAACATCTGTTAGCATTTGTCATGCATGCAATAAGCATATCCTATTAGTATTGTGATAAATCTGCGAAACCCAAGCTGGAATAGAAAACACGTTTTCTCATTACATTTGCTGTTCTGCTCTGAGAATAAAATGGAACGCAGATTGCTCTGTGTTGCAGTGACTACAATTGTCTCCCAACAGTATACAGAGAGTGGAATTTCTGGTATCTGTATTTTAAACCCAGGGTGATAAACAAATGGCTGAAGCAACATCTGTGCAAACGGAGCCTAAGAAAACACTATATACACACAAGGGTAGAAGAAAACAGATGCAAAGAATAAAATGGGGGATGGTTGTTTGCTTTTACACTGAAATAAGAAAGACTGGACTGGAGTCAGTTTAGACTGCCCGTGCCTATGAAGGTAAGTGTATCAGAAACAGCTTGTTTACAAAAAAGATTTAGAAGCTGTTTTAATTTGTAAATAAAAAAAGAAAGAAAGATTTTTGACAAACTAGTCAAAAAATGAAACAGACATTTGTGTTTTAGAGAGTTTTTTGTTTTTTTTTTGTTTTTTTGCCGCCTGTCCCGTTTGGCTCTTTTGCCATCAGAATTGAGAGAGATTTTTTTTAAGACCAACACTATAATACATGTATATACAGAGCTGTGGAAAAAGTATTTGCCTGCTTCTTGATTTCTTATTTCTTTGCAGATCTGTCACACTTAATGTTTCAGATCATCACACATATTGTAATATCAGACAAAGATGATTGAATGTTAGTGTCAGTTCTTATCCAAACCTACCTCACTCTGTGTGGAAAAGTAATTGCCCCATTGTTAAATCCTGAATTAAGTGTGGAAAGTCACATGAGAAAGTCAAATCTCAATCACTTGAGTAGAAACTGTCTGAGAAACTGAAGTAGGCTGAAAGATCTCAAAAGCAACAGATCATACCATGATCTAAATCAGGGGTGGGGCAACTTCAGGCCTCAAGGGCTGGTGTCCTGCAGGTTTCAGATATCACTCTGGGTCAACACACCTGAACAAATGATTCGTTTGTTACCAGGCCTCTGGAGAACTTCAAGACATGCCGAGGAGGTAATTTAGCCATTTGAATCAGCTGTGTTGGATCAAGGACACATTTAAAACCTGCAGGACACCGGCCCTCGAGGCCTGGAGTTCCCCACCCCTGATCTAAATAAATAAAGAACAAATGGGAAACAAAGTAACTGAAATCTATCCGCTTGTAAAGGGTTACAAAGATGTTTCTAAAGCTTTGAGATGTCAGAAAACCATTATCCACAAATAGAAAACACTGAGGAAGGTTCCCAGGAGTGGCTAGCCTACCAAAATTACTCCAAGATCACCTCAACAGCTCATCCAAGAGGTCACAGAAGAACCCAGAACATACTGTAAAGAAGTGCATGCCTCACTTGTTTTAGTTAAAATCAGTCAAAGTTTTCATGATTTAACAATAAGAAAGAGACTGGGCAAAAATGTCATCCATGGATTACGAAAAGGGTTAGGGTGTAGAACTAACACAGCATTTCATTAAAAGAATATCAAACCAGCAGTGAAACACGGTGGTGGTAGTGTGATGGTCCGCTGCTTCTGCTGTAACTGGAACCATGAATTCTTCTCTGTACCAGAAAATCCTAAAGTCCAGTTATCGTTTCAAATCTTCAAGCTCAAGTACACTTGGATTATGCAACAGAATAATGATAAAAAAAACATAAGCAAGTTCACCATTAAATGGCTAAAAAAAGAAAACAAAATTAAGGTTTTGGAATGGCCTAGTCAAAGTTCAAACTTAAATCTGATTAGGATGCTTTGGCATAACATTAAAAAAAGCTATTCATGCTAAAAATCCTCTAGTGGGACTAAATTAAAACAATTCTGGAAAGATAAGGTGGCCAAAATTCCTCCACTGCGATGTTAAACACTTGTGCCAGTTATTGCAAACGCTTGATTGCAGTTGGCATATATAATTGGAGACATATCAGTACTAAATGTTAAAGCGAGGGAAGTGTCTGATTATACTCCCGATCCAGAAGTGGGACAGTGGGGATAGGCACTGTCTTGCTGAAACAGCCACAGGGTGCCGTACTGCTTCTACCTACTATTGAAGCTGGAAAGCTAAAGACTAGAGCACAGTGGGAACAATAGTAAGCAGTATAAACATAATGAGCAAACCAAGTAAAAACAGGACTGTTTAATATTTCGTAAAATTTATGACAAAACCACAACCCTTTGGTAGTTGATGACATCTTAAAAACTGTGGGAAAAAGGACCAAAATCCTACTCTACACTTTCTAAATTGTGAACTTAACCACACACCCAAGCTTCCCCTGTGACCACTGAGATATAGATGTCACATATCAGATGCACTGAACCAACTACTGTCAGTGAACAGAATCAAGGCAACAATTACTTGTCCTCCAAACTGCATTTGGAAAACCAAATTAGTAGGGTATGTACACATATTTATAGTGATGAGGTGGCACTATATTGGCAGGTTTACTACAAGGTTGAATCTTCTTTTCCTTAACCCACTTCTGGTACACATTTTGAGGCCTTGTGGTTCTAACTTTGCCGCCTAATGATGACATTCAAATGAAAGTCTGGAAAAAAGAGCTTATTATATGTGTCTCAAAACTCCAGCTTGTCCAGTAGAAATGGACATTCATAAGACTAGAACTCACATATATTTAAGAATTGCAAGAAACTATACACTTGATAAATACAAACTGCTGCCTCAAGTGGTTACAGTAAGCTGTGGCCTGTTTTCAGTAGATAAAAAGCCATCCACGTAAAGAGGGAATTAATCCATATCTAAACCCTTTCCCCTTGTGCAGCTAGACTCTGTGACTATAACAAATGTGCACGCTGTGCTATTTAAAGGTCTTTGGTCTAAGATTAAATGCAGTGTTACCTTCTAGCACTTCCTTCGAGGAATCCCTCAGCCACACCCTGGGCCAATGGAAGCCCTAAAATCCCATAAATGTGACCACAGGAGCCAGGCGATGACGTGGTGACGTACTGGGTACTCGGGAAGATGACCTGCTGAAGTAAGAAAAATGAGTTTTACTCTTTCCATTGATCTGGACTAGTAATTACACTTTCTGTGAAGTGATCAAAGCATTGGGATAAAAATAAAACCCATTCTTTTACAATCACAGTGCAGTTGCGGGTTCTCATGAATGCTTTAGGGGTTTCTGTTATATGTGACTCACCAGTGCAATTGCAAAACCATACCAGAAAAAGAGGGTTGTGTTAAAAATAGAGCACAAAGTAGAACAAAATCCAGGGCCAACTGACAGATAGTCAATATTCTGGTTTATATATTTCCTAAACTATTGCACTGACATGAATTAAATGAGTAATATATATTATTCTTTACATTTTATTCTCACTATTGTTTGTGTTAGTTACCAGTTAATGAGCAGTTTTGTCTTCAATTGTCCCTGTTTCTCTCATCTTTTTAAGCCATTTTTGCTGTTTTCTGTTCAGTATTGAGCATCTTCTTTGAGACCTGTCTCCCTAATGAATCATCTGTTTCTTCTTGCAGCTTGATTAAATTTAAGCAGCGCTTTTAAACCCACTGTCTCCACAACACTGCCAAAAATAGAGGATGGTCTGCTGTCGTCAGGGAGCTACAACACTATTTAGCCTTTTACTCACTTCAAGTGACAGTGAATGCTGGAGGCTTGTGTGTTCTTGTTTTCCACAAAAATGAGCTTAAATTAAAAGGTGGGCTTAAGAACACACCACCTGTGCTGCAGGAAACTTTCAAACAGCCGGCATTCCTTTTAAAGGTTGATAAACAGCTGTATTTAACCGTGTTGCCATCCAAAGTCTCCAAGTATCCCTGATACGCAGGCAGATAGAGTGGGGATAATGAGGTCCAGGTGTGTCTTGTTGCAACGATGAGCTAATGGCGTCCTACTCTGCCATTACCCCCGTCACAGCAGCCATCTCCCAGTTTCTGTACCCTGCACTTGCCCATTTTTGTGTAATTAAATGCAATTTTCTCACCCACACCACATACCCAATGTTTAAACTTGTCAACAGTGCTACTGCCACCACCGTGGACTCTTGACATGTCATTACTTCAATCTTCAGTGCAGACAAAACTCTATAGATGGCCTCCTGCTTTTTTTGCAGCTCTATGGTATGTCACATTTCCAATTACTGTCTCTGGCAGAAAATGAAATACCCTGTATGACTTCTGGACATTTTTGTCAGGGTGTAATCAAATCTAAAGAACATTACATTAGCTTTTTCAGATATCTAATGGATATTTAGTCAGTGAACTGAAGCAATGGTTGTAGCATATTCCTGTCACAAGCTTCCAAAATAAAACATTAGGTTTTGCACCACAAACACTTTTATTTTCCAGCTGCAGAGAGTTCCCTCACAAACCCACAGGGCAAAAATCCCTGTTATAAGTTATATGTTTGGTGCTGAGCTGTCAAATTGCTTTAATCCTTCTTTTGGCTGTGAATGATTGGACTGAAATTTTTGCAAAAGTGCAAAAGCAAGGGTTGTTCTACTGTTATAACTTGGTCTGCGTTAGTTTGAGTTTCCGAATAGGAGGAATCTCTGTTGTTGAAAGTATTTCTATTCAAGACAGACAGCAAGATTTAAAGGGGTAATTTTCTCATGACACTAATGACACACTAATTTCAACAAGCGTGCCTGCCCAGTGCTTGCTATAGTGTCAGTTACACACTGACTTACCAAAAAAGAAGAAATTAAAAACAAAAACAAGAGAACAGCTGAAATCAAAGTCAAACATCCAATACCAACTTTCTGGCATGACTCTACATTTTATAGTTCTATCAGGGCCTCACTGGAAAGAAGTAATAAAGGTTCTCACTCTAAATTTAAAACCACGATTCTGGTGATGTCATTAAGCAAAACAATCTTCTGGCAGTGATTACAACAGCCATGCAAAGTGTTTACCAGGAAGAAATGGTCTGAGCTGGGGGACAAGTCTGTTACTCTTAATAATGAACCAGGGACACAAATCACAGAAGGCATTAGTTTCAGTGTCAACTAAAACACAAGGAAACACAAATACAATGTGACAGTTAATGAAAGCCAGATTTATCATCTGGTTTCTGCTTTCTCCTTCATTTCTTCTTGTTGAGGGCATACAGCAGCTCTAACATGTGTAGTATTGCATAGCTGCTTCATATATGTCGATCAGCTCCATTATGTTACAGGATTCCCTACTGTATATCATCACCTGGATGAGGATCTGCATTTGATGGGACCAGTTGGTCCTTGGGAGGATGGTCTACTCAACCAACAGGACATATACATGAAATGATCCATAGCCAGGAAGATCGCATGGGATTCCAGCAACAACCGGCTGCTGTCCGTGCTGCCATCAGGGAGCCTGCAGCCTGCCAAGACAGAAAGGATGAGGAGCTTTTATCCTACTCGTAGCTGGACTGTCACATAAGCTGCGCATTCTAACTGTATAAGTTTACATGTCTAATCGTATATGTATTCAACTCGAGCTATTGCTATAATACCAAATTATTTACACTCAATTATAAGGATTATTTAACTATTCAAGTAAGTAAAAAGGAAAAACTTTCTCATACTGTAATTTCTCTAATGGAAAAAAAACGGATGGCCAAACAGTCTCCTTCAGGATTTTGCTTTTCTGGTAGAGTGCAGAATTCCTGGTTTCATCATTTATGGTAAGCAGCAAAGCAGCTTCAGCCACACTGCTACCACCATGTCTGATTGTTCTCATGTTCATTTTATGAAATGTGGTATTAGTTTTATGACAAATCTAATTGGACTCAAACTCCCCAAAAATTCAGCTTTTGTCTTTTCACTCCACGGGATATTTTCTCAAAACTCTTGGGGATCATCAAGAGTTTTCTTTTGGGAAATATGAGATGAGCCTTTGTGTTCTTTTTAATCACAGTGGTTTTGGCTTTGAAACTCTCCCTGTGGATGTTGTTTTTGGCCAGTCTATTTCTTATTACTGAATCATAATAACTGACCTCAACCGAGGTCAGTTATTTAGACATTGTTCTGTGTTTTTCTCCCGAAAAATGTGGTTAATCACTGTTAAATAATTTAAAATATGCATCAGATAAGTCTGTATAGCATATTTTCCCCTTGAATATTGAAATAATGATGCAAAGAAACAAACAAACAAACAAACAAAAACAAACAAACAGCTTTGTCTGGTTTTCTTTGTCTAATGATATCCTAATAATGTATTATTATTTTTGTTTTTTGACCATCTGAAACATCTAAGTGTGAGAAATATGCAAGAAAGTAAGAAAGAAAACAAGAAGTTGAGATAATAAATAATAAATAAATAAAATAAGTAAAACTTATTTTTTTATTATAGTTATAAAGGAAAGTAATTTCTGGAAACGGACTTTTATATATATATATATTTTTTACACTAATGAACTGTTTCAACTTCCCTGCAGAAGGGGAGCAGTGTTGGTCAACCAGATGCCATGTGCTCAGGGGGGAGGGGACAGTTAACAGCCGACGGGGTGCGGGGTTCAAATACAGCTGCGCTTACTCACACTTTTCGCGTAGGACGTCCCTGTGCCAGGGGTGAATGAATACCGTTATCTTTTCCTCTGCACCGTCTCACTTCATAGGCTTTACCGGGAACTCAAGCTGCAGCTGCAATTAAGGAACCACGCCTGTTGCTATTTAATTTCCCTGAATTGTAGCACTTATACGACAGCTCACTAGAGCTAAAAGAATAGTTACAGGCTCCCAACCAGAAATCACACTACTCGTTGATTTTTTTTCCTAAATCCTCCCTTATTAATTGTATTATCGCGAGAGCCAATAGTACGAGCCTCCTGGGCTGATCTTGACCACTGCTGCCGGGCTGGGAGTTAATATCCCAGCTCTCTGACCTGGAGCACGCACTATAGCAGAGATGGAATACCTCATTTTTTTAGTGATTTCATCCTCGATCAAGTTTGCAACTTCTGTCTTGTCCAATGATGTTCCTCAAGCCCCTGTGCCAATTCCTAAAGGTAAGAAACGATTAAAAAAACAAAACAAAACAAAAACTTTCACTTCTTGTTTAGATACTGGCAAATATGGCTACTTTGACACCGCCACTGGCTACATCACATTTTACTGCGTTTACATGTTGCTGTATTTTCCTGCGTCTGAGTTGTCATGCCAACTGTGCAAATACAAAGTTGTGTAGGTTATTTTTCTGGCTGTAATTTCCGGTTACATGATGTCTACATGAGACGCAGGTTGCCTGCCTGCGGCTCCCTATGTGGGAAAGTGAATATGTCTAGCGCGACATATGTCGGAACGTAAAATTACATGATGTTGCTTGACAGAAGAGTCGTCTGCGGTTTCTCACAATCCTGTTTTTATTTGTTTGGCTGCACACAGCGCTGGCTTTTCATAAAGATGTCAGGCTGTAAATTTCACTGCGAGAAATAACTAACCAATTGCGGGCGAGTCTTTGATGATTTCACTAGTTTCCCCTTATTCTGCATTAAGACTAAACATTCAAATCGTTATTGACTCAACCTAGATCCTAGTGAAATCCCCGAGTATATCATTTTATTTATTAATTTATTTATTATACAGAAAACAAGCAATTATGTGATTGAGATACAGAGAAACGCCTGTAAACGTGTTATAATTTAAGGTTTATGGAACAGAGCCAAACACTGCTCAGATCTTGAGACAGGCTTTATTCTGATGTAAAGGGATAAGCTCCTTGAAGCAAATCGTGTCACATTTTTATAGACTTTGGGAGGGGGAAATCCACCCTCTGCTAACACGTAGCTGTCGTTAAACTGCTCTAAATTACCCTCATATTATTCCCGTTTAGCATGACTTCTTCCATAGTCACAGAGCACCTTGTAAAACCTATAGACAACATAAGCAGATGTTGTGGCTTGTGTTTTAGTTAAATCTGGAAATCTGATTCTTTTCAAATGATGCATCTGGGATCATTTGAAAAGCTGGGAGATTTGACTATCAGGACACAACAGCTGCTTTCAGTCTCTACAGGCTTGTTTTGTCATCTGCTCTGGACTAACCAAGCGCCTTCCACACAGTAGCCACATTAACTTTACGAGGGATATAATGTTTTATTGTGAAAGCCTTCGATCACTAAACTGATGCAATATGTTGGCTAAATTTGTGACAGAGAGCAAACTTTCAAAAACCATGACTAATATTAAAATTGAACCCGTAAACTGTAAACTCTACATATAAAGTCATTTAAAATGAGAGCACTGGACATTTCATTTTACACATTGTATATAAAGGTGGTGCTTACTAAAGTGATTAAATGAAAAGAACTAGGAGGGAATTCAAAGCTGTTTTAGTTTTGGGTAGTTCTACGTTAAAGATTCAGTACATGGTAGTGGATGATTGCAAGCCTTTCTTTTAAGCATCTGAAGAACATCAGAAAAGTATAAAGTAACTCCATTTGGGGGCAATTAAGTATTTAATACACAGTCACCCATTTCCAGGCATGCATTAGATGGAAGAAAAGGCCATGAGAAACATTTGTTCTGCTTGGCATCAACTCGATGAGTATTTTGCAGAAAGGCAACATTTCCAGAGAAACACCTTGGTAGTTGTGTGTTTGCCAGGTGGACATAAATATGTTTCATTAGAACAACTTCAAATCACATGCTGCTATGAAAGAACAAGGTGTCACCACTGTTTAAGTAAAAGTAGAAATGGTAGCTAATAAGGCACCAATGAAAGGACCCTAAGTCCCTAGGTATTCGTTAAACACTGGTTGTAGCACAAGATGCAAACGGTGTGATTTAGCACTGAAAAGGGTTCAGTAGAAGAGGAGGAATTTACAGCTCTGCCCATTTCTCACCAGTGTGCACCTGGCCACTCATGGTGAACAACGGACATGGCTGTTTGGTTTGTCCGTTTTGGAAAGTTACAAAAATTGGGGCTGCGTAGACCCCCACTGTCCAGCAGTCTGAAAGAAGCCTTTCACTTATGTCTGAATGACTGTGTGAACTTCGGACGGAGCATTGGATTCAATATGCAGGTCTTGCTAATCCAAGTTTGAATAGTTTGCTGCAACACATAGTTTAAAATAACCAGCCCACTGTTAACCTCTGACAGGCATCCTATCAGAACTAGTATCATTTAATATGACGCAATGCCTGAAGTTTAATAGTAAATGCTGGCTAGGTTAAAGGCTATTTCTCATGGCTTGTACTCTGTCCCCCTATTCCATGGATAATGCATCTCTCAGCCTTTTCCCAGACATCATTGACGTGTCAACAGGCAGCATTTTATAGAGAAGAAAAGGAAACCCCACCTAAGGTTGTCCATGCCTTATATACTGTATAATAGCGCTCTCTATTGCCTGTAATTCCAGTCTAACAAACTTAACAAACCTTGTTGCCAAGCCAAGGTTGTAATCATGCCTTAGAACGTTGTCACTATGTCACCACAAGGTTGGTTTCGTGCCTTCTTTATGCCAAATATGTGTTGTGTTGTCTGCTTTTTTGCATTGCCTTGTTTTCTCTCTGCTGTTTCCCAGGGATTTTATGTTAACTTGTAAATGTATAGATACATGAAAACTGCAAGAAGCACAGTTCTCAAGGAGAACTGAAAGTCAATGACACTTTAAAAATGTCGAAACACTCCCTATTGTACAAATAATCAATTATTTTAAGTCATTTTAAATGGCTTTCTGGGAATCAAGCAGCTGTTGATCTTTGACAAAAGACATGCTGGCTGAACCTTATATTGATGCAGCTGAAAAGACTGAAAAGGCAGTACTTTTCAGACTCCTGCATATTCGTCAAAATTTCAGGACTCATTTAGATTGTAGTAATATTGGCCAGAATGTCAAAAATACTGTGGCTGGAAAATTTACCTTCACCTGCCAACAAGTTAGACATTGGGGCCAGTTTGCAGACTTTGCCTCTGAAAGTCATTACTATAATGCATTTATAGTAGAGAGAAAAACAACAAAACTTTTTTAGTTATTATTTATTTATGCTACAAAGTCAGAGACATGCTCATGTGCATTCCTGCTGCTCTGCAAAATTAAACAAAACTGAAAAGATCAAGGTGTAACATGAACAATGAGACAGTACATTAAGTTTTGATTTGTACTTCATAAAACTGCAGGATAAGTCATTAGTCCGGGTGAAGGATGTGCTCATCAAGTGCCTTTTGTAGTTGATTATAATGTTGGTTTAAGTAATTGATACACAACAAAACCAATTTTAAAAAAGAAAAAATCAAAAGTAAAGCCATGTTTGTGCTATTTAATGAGGCAGTGATTCAGTTTATATGAGTAATCATTGATTCTTGTTAAAATAAATTTCATAGCTGAGAAGAAGCCAACCCATGCTCTTAGGGACCCGCTCATTGTTTGCCTTAAACAAATCATTTCATTCCCTTTCCAGGTGCAGCAAAAGAAGCACATTTAATGTCCGTTTTTCTCTCTGAAAACTGTGTGACAGTTCTGACAAATGAGAGGAGAGAATCAATATAATTATGATATAAGGGTGAATTCTTCTGTTAGAAATTTCTTGGGACTCTGTGTTGTTGGTTTATTACAAATTATTCCTCTATGCAAACCTGAAATCTATGTGTAACCGCTGATATATATATATGTGTAGAAGAACATAAAATATTATTTGCCCATCAAATCCTGAGCCATCATTGGTAATGAAGTCACTGTTAAGTTGCCAGAAAACTAAATGTTCACATCTTTTGGTTTTTCTGCAGTACGTACAACTAATTGAATTTATGCACTGTTAGAAAACCTTGCTATGAGGGCATCTCTGAAGAAATATTTCAAGCACAGTTCATTGGCTTTGCCACTGATGATGCTGGAGGCATGATGGGCCGACACTCCTCATTGAAAAAATCGCCAAGATGACTATTATTTATTGAAACATTTAGAGTACTTAGAACTTGTGGTCCATAATGCTGGAAAACACGTTACAGATTAATTTTCACATGTTTCTTAACTCTTAAAAGTTTGAAGTTCTGCTGGCGACCCCTCCTTCTCAGGTCAGATATTTACAGATTTGGGTAAAAAGAAAGACTCAATCACTGTAAAAACTACTATCCAGGAAAGTAGGAGAAAATCTGAAATCAAAGCAAGTATTTTCTTAGGAATCTCCTGCAGTGTTATGTTAATTCTTTCTTTAAACTAAAAGCATTTTGAACTGTTGCATTTTAACATTACGGTATGTCTTATTAAAATACTGAAGTTAAATGGCACAACTACTCAAGTGGAGATGGGATGTAATCCTGGCATGTTTGCATTGTTGTGTTGGCTGTGAGTGACTCAAACAAATTGTCAGACTGAGAATTGTGCATGTTAATTTAACACTAAACCTAACATGTTGCAACAGTAAGACATTAGTCTAACACACATATACAGTCCTGTTAACAGCTTTATTTTGACATATGGCGATTAATTGGAGGCCTTCCGCAATCTGATTGAGTGATTGAGTGAGTCCGAGTTGGACCAAGACAGATTGCCTTGCACTGAGCTTGCAGAGGTTGAGGATTTTGCATGCTCAACCTCTGGACAACCAGCTGGTTGTAATCAGTCTAAAACAGCAAAAAATTAAAAAAAACCCTGAAAATCAGCCCAATCACTTACACATTTGTCCTGGTTGCACAAAGGCTGAAATTCAATTTCTACTCTAATGTGATTGAGACCTAAGTTGTGTTTGTTATTCCTTATACAGCAATTCAGCACAGAATACATTAGCATATTGATTGAGTGCTTAACCTGCGAGTGCATAATGTTGAACTGGACTATGTGTTCCTTTCATTACTGAAAGTCTATAGTATAACCAGCTTTTTGGCAGAAGAGAAAATTACTGTCCTTACTGTCACAGCATGACAAAACCTAAATGACAGATTAGCTTTTTTTCTAGTTTTTATTTGTTTGTGTAAGGAAAGGTAATGAGCTATTCCTGATTCAAAATGATGTGTGACGAGACTACGAAAATTGTTTCCTGTCCCACTGTTGGTGACATCATGCCACATC